CTCCCGGCGCCCGCCCCGGCGTGCGGGGCTGCAGCGGGGCGAGCGCCGAGCGCGCTGCGGAGCTCACACGTGCGGGGGCATCGCCCGCGATGCCGCCGCCTCCTCCTGCTCCGGAGCCGAAATGCGGGATGCTCCAACTTAGTTCGGCGGGCGGGAAGCGGGCGCGCTGCGAGGAGCCCCTGTGCCCTGGACGCGGCTGGAAAATCCTGGGGCAGGGGGCCCGGAGATGCTGCAGATCCCAGCGCGGGTGGCCGAGGGATCTGGCCCCGGCTCGGCGGCGCTGGGTCCTTCCTGCTTCGTGTCGATTGTACCTGGTTAATGTGAAAAAAAGCGACTTTGGTGGAGAGCGGGTGGGGGTATTTATAATGCAAGTGCATTTAAGATAGCTGCATTATAGGTCCGTGATCAGCTCCCCTTTCATCTTTGTGTCTTATCAGGAAAATAGCTAAAATAGGAGTAGGAGAAGTTTTGTATTCCTGTGCTTTCAGCAGTATAGCAATTATATTTTCAAAAGCCATTTTCAGACAGATTACGCAAAGCGTGTTCTTTCCGATTTGCAAGTTTTAGGTTTTACTGGGTGTAACAATATTTACAGAGTTCAGACGTCACGTTTTTGTATTTAAAGCATCGTGTGTCCCCCAAACCTCATGTCTCCCCCAAACCATTGCTCCTGCTTTCCAAGATGTCTGGTGTCCACTTAAAACGGGACCGGGGGATGTTTGTTGCCTTGCATCCAGCAGTGTCACGAATTGGATCATTCCGCACTGGAGATTTGGGTGCTGCAGCCAGACCTTGGGTGACCTGACATCATATTCCCAAGTTAAACCTCACAGTTATTAAGCCGGCGTTCAGTTAAACATGAAGCAAAAACTAGGGCTCTCAAAGAAGTTTGCCGCTTATTTTTAGCTTTTCATTTTAGTGCTATAAAGTGAAATCTGCTTCTAGTTACACATAGATCTTGTTTATGGTAGAATAATGCAGGGCAAACCCCTTGGTTAGCTTTTTAAAATTTTTAGGTTCTCTTTGAAAATGACTTCGTATTTGGCATAATTATATTAATTATACTAAGAAGGAAGGTGTTAGTGTTTAAAAGGAGCACTGAAGCAGCAAGCAGAGGTGTGGAGGGGAACGTGCTGTGTGTTTGCAGTGTCCATGTGTGTGGAGGAATCCAAGCGCCGCTGAAGCTCTGGTGATGTTCCTGGTGCCTTAATGGAATCGCCAGTTCCCATTTGCATAGGGAAAAGTCCCTCCACTTCAGGGCTGCTATTGTTGCTTATAACAAGCTATTAAAACAGCAAGTTGCCAAATCRAGGTGCAGAAGAGTTTTTCGAAGTCTTGAAGTCCATTATGGTCAACTAATAGTTGTATTCTGGTGAGGTCCAATGTATAAAGTAAGTTAATATTAATGAGCAGGTTTCCTACTTGAACAGTCATTCTACCAGATCCCGATACAGAATCACAGAATGGATCATAGGATCGCTGGAGGTTGGAAGGGACCTCTAGAGATCATCTAGTCCAACGCCCTGCTCCAGCAGGGACACCCAGAGCATGTGGCACAGGGCGGCATCCAGGCGGGTTTGGAAGACCTCCAGAGAAGGAGACTCCACAACCTCCCTGGGCAGCCTCTTCCAGGGCTCTGTCACCCTCACAGTGAAGAAGTTCTTCCTCACATGGAGATGGAACTGCCTGTGTTTCAACTTACACCCATTGCCCCTTGTCCTGTCGCTGGCCACCACTGAGAAGAGCTTGGCCCCTCATCATAGCTCCTCATCTCATCTTCATCCTTGGGTATTCAGTTCTCACAGGGTCATAACACCCTGYAGCTCCTACCCACGTGACCACCTCTGTAGGTCTCCTTGGCCACTGGTCAAGCTGCCGTTTCACACTCACGGCGTTTTATTTGGACAGTTGTTGGGCTGATAAAAAGTTTCCATAAACACTGACTTACTGCCTCAATTTCAGCTTGATCGAGAACTTTATCTGATGAAATTATGGAAATTGGAATAATTTATGAATTGCTCCTGTGGTTCTTAGCAAAGGTGGAAAAATGTATTTTACATCTATCTTTCATAGCCAAGAACATTTTTTCCCCCCTGGTTTGCAATTACACGCAGTCAAAGCAATTTGCCCGTATAGCTATGGTAGTCCTGTGAGTAGTTTTGGTAATAGAAAGAACATTGAAATAAACCCTTGTTTTTTCTCAGGTGTGCCATCAGGGGGCCCTTGCAAACTACATCCATCAARCAAAAACAGCTGCTTCAGTTCTAGTGCATGAACAAGACAATTCTTATTAGCTGCTTCAGTTCCCCACTACAGCGAATGAGTTTGTTTAACCATGCATGGTGAGCAGAGGACCAAGTATTACTAATGCACCAATTTAAGCTCATCAATTACAGTTGTATTTTTGGGATAATTTCAGTTCTTAGGAACTTAATATATGGACCAAAGTATTCCCTCTGAGTCTAAAATGTTATACTTGTTAAATAACTGGTTTTGTTTGAATAACTACAGAAAAAAATAAAAATAGTTCAATTTGCCTTGCAAAAATTCATAGGCATCCACGAACCATATGGCTTTCTTACCTCTAGTAGAGAAATACATCTCTGCATGGCAGAGCCAGTATAGCAACAGCTATGATCAAACGTAAGTAGAAGCAGGCATGGATGAATCAGAATCCCTTTTAAAGCAGACCTGGCCGAGACCACAAATTCTCATCTTTCCATCCATAAATATCTCCCATTAGAAAATTGTATTTCCTGAAAGAGATTATATGTCACCGCAGCCAGTTTCTGTCATAGGGGCCGAAATGATTCACTGAAGTRAAACAAGCCCTTTTCCTATTGTATTTATTTAGGAAATGTCAAGTAGCGGTTGATGTGTTGAGTGCATGGACGGGAAGCATCCCATGCAGTTGGACTCCTCCGTTAGTGTTTCKGCGCATGCTCCTGCCTTTGCTCTCTCCCCATGATTTCTTAAACAATGTTACTCATTTGCTACACATTTTCAGTCTCTGTTCTTCATGGTTCTGTCCCTGCCAGTTTTTAAAAATGAACAACAAAATCTTTCCAATATGGAACGATTAACATTCAGCCCTCTATTTGCTGTTGTTGTTGTTTTATAAGCTACTACTTTATTGCTACTATTTAAAAATACTTCCCCCCTGAAACATCCCAACACACACCTACTTTTGGCAGTGAATATAATACATGCCTGTGGCCCACCACGGTGCTAAAGGTGCTTATATTGCAGAGGGAAAATCGGTATCTGTTGTCCTCAGTAGATGTTGTATCTGGGTCTAACAAAGTAGACAAGTTGGCAGTAATGAAACAGATGAGGAGATATGATCAAATAGCGTCATAAATCAAAATCGGTAAGACCTGTAGTCTGGAGATGCAGACAGTACTTATGTACAGGTACTCTTAAGAAGTATATATGACAGCTAGAATTGTTGGAATTCTGCCCACAGCTCCCATTTTGGGGTTCTTCGTAAGTGCTGTTCCTCCAGGCAGCATCCTTCCATCACTCTCAGTCTTGTGTCCCCCCTCACAAATACTCATTTTCAAATGCAAGTTGGTCACCTCAAAGGAATGAAAAGAGGTTTCTCAGAATGACCTGTGTGCAGTTTGAACACTGAACCAGTTGTTGTAAAGTGAGTTTTCATCTAGCAACCCCAACGTTAAGTCTTTGTAAAATGGCTGGAAGCGGAGTTGGAAAGGAAAGCATAAAGCTGAGATAATGGAGATTTGGGAAGGCTTGAAGAGCAGTCTCTCATTTAGGGTGTCTGATGCATGTTCTGCTGTGGAAACCAAGAGGTGGATGCAGCAGCCGTCAGCCCCCGTCGTGCTGCATTTCAAGGAGAAAACCCTGCTGCAGTACCTGGAGAGGCAACAGGTCAGTACTGAGAATGAGGATCCAAAGCTTTTCTTGACCTACCTCCTTACTTCCTCTGTCTTTATCTTTTAATTTAGGAAGAGTTATGATACTGTATTTTCAATAAGCTCCAGGGGACGGCGAGAATGCAAATTAATTGTTTAAGCCTGTCTGGAATCTAATTGCCCTTAACATGCAAGGGTTTTTAATAATCGCTTTCCTACACTCGATTTGTTTTCGTGAGTAGGCGGTCAACTGAATTAGTTTGCTGCACTTCTTTCCTTCTTGACAGTCACTTGCAGTGTAAAACTTTTAATGCCTTAATGATATTATATAAATTACATATCATAAAATATCAGCAAATTATTGAGCGATTCTGTTAGTATTGCAAATGGATAGGCTGGTGACTTCTTATAGAAA